CCCCCAGGGACGACAGCAAACAAAAACACGCGCCCCCACAACGACAGCAAAAAAAAACGCGCCCCCGCAACGACAGCAAAAAAGCAACGACAGCAAAAAACAAAACACTCTTACCCTGATCTGACTGATCTTGCAGATGGTTGTCCACCCACAGCCAGTAGCGGATTAATGTCGAGAACAGCCGCTCCACTTGAATGTCGCTGTGCGAGATGCGTGTAAATCTTTCGTGACACACTATTTCTCAAGACCGCCTATGTGTGGAGAGAGCTTTTTTAAGCGCTGGTGGTTGCGATTGGAACCTACTCGGTTGCAAGCAGTCGCGAAAGGGGTTCACCGCTGCACTCCACATCTTCCAAGCCTTCGAGCCTTACAGAGGAAGAGAAGTTGCAGCTGTACCTGCCGTGCTCCCGCGATCTAGAGCAGCGGAGAACAGTCAGGCTGACAAGAAAGAAGGCATGTTTTGCCTACGGGGCGGTTGCATGAAGCGAGTGAAAACTGTGATCTAACCAAGGTGCTGTGAAACACTACAAGAAGTCAATCATGGTTGCCCCCACTGCAGAAGCCTGGAAATCCATCGGAGCCTCGGAGCCAATGTCGGATCCGTGTGCGACTAAATGCAGAAGAGGTCTGATTGCAGTGACAACCACACAGTTTGAGCGACACTGTGCCGTGATACTCAGGCATCTGCACCTACCGACGTGCGCATTTTGAGCCATCCGTCGCACGCAGAGATAGAAAGCTCCATGAGGCGTGGATAGCAGGCTGTTCTCTGCTGTTCGACACATCTGTGCTGCTCCATGCTGTGCCTGTCCTTGACGCGAGGCATCAAAATACCTCCAAGAGGCCAACATGTTGGACAGGGAGCGATCAGACATCCTGGCGTGGTTGACGATTTGTGCAGTTGAGCTCGGTCACACCCAGATCGCGAAACAGGGATTCCGTCAGCTAATGCAATTTGACGACCGATTGGACCAATCAGTCGCGTTGGAACTTGCAGAGATCTTGCTGCGCTTCAGCAACGAGCAGAAAGCTCCTGAGTGGGGTGGCGAGCGTGGACGGTTGGTACAGGATGGACGGTATGCCAAGGAAGCCGCAATGATAGCTAAGATGATTCTCGGACGTGCGGAGATTGGTCAAGCTCGACAAATCTTGTCTTGGTCTCTTGCTCTCGACGGAGAGCATGCGGCAGCCGCCGGGGAGTTCTGCGCGGCTATGCCTTTGCTGGTGGTCCAGGATCCTGGCTCATTGGATCAGGCGGCTGAAATGGCTAGGCACTGTGCTTCCATGGTTCCAGGGGATCCGCAGCTGGTGGCAATGGTGGAAGAGGCTCTCCTCTTCGTAGTTTCATGAGATGTAGTAGTTTTTGGACTTGCTGCGCTGCCCCTGTGCATCGTGCGAGGCCATCTCAGCAGCCATTGAACAACAAGCGGCTCATGGTGATGCGGCAAGCAGCGCCTTCGAGGGTGTCAGTGAAGATGGACAGGTGCGGAGCCGAGATCAGCCCTGAGCCGAGCAGACAAAGTGAGATGTCGATGTCATGGCAGGCTCCACAGCTGGAGTCCGAGAAAACGCCCGCGGCTGAGGAACCGCCAGATGCCGAGCCGCCAGAGAATGCCAGCTGAACGAGAGAGCGACAGCTGTGAACAGCACGGCAATCGTTCTTTCGGAATAAGCTCATAACCAAGCGCCTGTAGATAAATTGTACGAAAGAGCCGTGCTTGCGATCCTACCGGATGGTAATGTCTTTGTACAAGCTCCAGAATCTCCACATCATCAACAAAAGCCCGCTGAGATGGAGTGCGGCATTCCGGCAGACCTTTCATGAGAGTATGAGGATTTTGTATGAATGAGTCGCTGGCATCCCGGACGCGGTTTTAGTTGCATGAGTGCATGCCAGATACATCCAAAGTTTCACCCCGCAGTACCGCAATCTGGCGCATCCACTGAGCATGCCTAACAGCATCAGCGTCGAGAACTCCAGCACTGAACTGTCTGCAAACCCGCTCGCAGACAAAGTGCGACAACCGTCTCATTGGAACGTCGTGTTTCACCCCCGACACGACCAAAGTTGCAAGTGGGCGATCCCATGTGAAATTCTTTGTGCAGGCTTTGACTTGCCCGAACCACCGCGACAGTCGAGGTGACACTGCTTGAGCAAGTTGACTGTTCAGCAAGCCCCTGGGTTTGTGTCGTGTTAATTCCTTTAGTACCTTTAGTGTGTTTTCCTGTACCTAGACTCACCTGCTGGCACTGCACGAGTCGTCTCAGCAGATACTCGCAGTCTTGCCCTGTCAACTTTGCGATGTGGCTGCTGCGTTCAGTGCTCCCACAGCCCACCAAATTCCAAGTATGGCCAGCTTTTGTGGTCTTCGAAAGATCCCTTTTGTGCTATATCGCAGTGGCACTTCGAGAGGCCTTTTCCTTTTGGAGAGCGATGTGCCGCCACGTGGCAGACTGCGGGATGAGGTCTTATGCCGGCTCATGGGTAGTGGACATCCGCAGCAAGTCGGAGGTTTTGGTGGTGGGTGCGGTCCTACAAGCAAGGTGGCCATTGTGGGTCCGCACTCGGAGCCCAACTCTGTGGCGTGCTGCTTTGCTCAGTGTGGCATAGCGTCTGCTGAAGTTGATCACTCCCACGGGGATTGTGGCCACTTGGCGTGAAAGGAGTTGTCAGTGCGGTGACATGTGGGAGAGTCTGCCGCAGCCAAGGCAACATGCTTGCAGCAGTGGCACCTTTTGCCCTTGAAAGGGGCATATTGAACCTGGAACCATCGGCATGTCAGTGCGCAGCGCGGAAGGTCAAAATCCATAGTATTAACACCGGGGCTGTTTACGAAGCACAGGTGTCCATAACAGGTGACCGCGGTCAGACTTTTGTTCAGTACACCGGGGATTGTGAGGTTCCTGGAATTCCAGGACCGGCCGCTCCATTGCGACTTGCTTCCTTGGATGTTGCAGGCTCGCAGACTGGGAGGCTTCTTCCCTCCGGGAATGCCCAAGATTTCTTTGTGGTTGGGAAACGCTTGGGCTCGGTTACGGCCACCCTCATTGACTTCGCACGGGCCTTAGTTGTGGTGCCTGCCGAGGAGGTACTGCCAAAGTTCGGGTACAGACAACTGGATGAGCTGACCATAGCACGAGTCGAACATGATGTGGAGTTATGCTCAGATCTTGAAGACCTCCGTTTGCATGCTGGCCTTTTGATGGGAATGGGCGACTGTTCTGGTCATGATGCACCAAAGTTGGCTATTGTAGGTTCATCCGAATCTCCAGGAGTGGGTCTAGGAGAGTCAACGCAGTCTGGGATGTCTTGCCGCTATTTTGTAAACCCTGGAAGATGCGAGATGCACCCAACAGTTGCGATGACAGCAGCACAGGCACTGGGGGCAGCCTGCCTAGTTGAAGGCAGTGTTGCAAATAGGGCACTTGGTCGCCGTCCGGCAGCAGATGACGGCTCTGATGTCTTCACTTTTGCCATTCAACATCCAAAGGGTACGTTCCCTGTAAGCATTGGCGTGCAGCCAGCATCAGTAGATGAGCTTGCCCGTTTTCCGTCAGGGGTACCACATGCCGGCAGGTACACCACGACCGTAATGCCGATAGCGGAGGGGAGTGCATTTATCGACCGACCCTTCCTTTGACAGCTCGCTGTGAAACTGCAAGCCGACAACGAGAGCCCTAAAGATCTGATGAGGTAGACCGTGCTCGATGCTGGATTTGGTTTCACTGAAGTTTGTCGCGCCTGGTCGCTCCTTTCGCAGCTCCGTGCTCAAAGACAGTTTCAGGATCAGTGTATGACTGGCAACACACACACACACGCACGAAGCCCGCACGCAGCAGCACAGGATTCTGCCGTGCTGCACAAATTGACAAAAGACAGCAAACGTGATTGAGCAGCTGTTGCTCTCGATTTGCTGATTAGACTCATGGTCTTCTTGGCGCCCGGTGGTGTTTGAAACCTGGCATCGAGACATGCCATCACCAGGGCAGGGTGGCGATGGGCGATTTGCACGCTGACAACGGCACGTCCGACCTCCCGGACACAGCCGAGCGTTTGGACGAACCAAAGAGTCCCAAGAGCCCAGAGGCCGGGTACACCAAGGGCGACCTGAAACGCTCCTTGCTGCACAAAGTTGCTCAGCTGACGAGGGTGGTGAACCACTTGAATTCAAAATCAGACGAGCAGGAGCTGGAGCACAGAAGTTTCAGTGAGGAAGTCGAAGTAAAGATTGAGAAGCTGCACGAAGATGCTGCTCAGGCCATGCGTGCCGAAGCTTCAAAGCTTGAAGAGCTTGCGAGCAAGACCTGTTTACAAGACAGCTCAGCACGTTTGGAGAGCCTCTTCGGTCAACAGAGGGCCGAACTGGCAGCAGAAATACGAGCCTTGAAGACCATGGCTTGTGGCAACCAGGCGTGTGTTACTGCCAGGGCCGACTCAGATCTCTGTGTTTCGATCCAGCATGTCCGGGACATCTCACAGCGGGTTCGCCAAAGTTTAGATGCTTACAGGGCGACCTTGAAGCGCCGGGCGGCAGAGATGGAGCAGCGCAACGAGGCAGCGAGAGTCAATAGTCACTCGAAGTCAGCTACAGCGAGTGAGAAAGCAAGATGGACGCGCAGAGAGAAGAGTACGCGCGCGCGCGAACAGAAAGGAAGAAGGACGCCGTGCTCACACCGCCGATGAGCTGATGGGTGTCAGTACCAGAATCAGCAGACTGCAGCAGGGAAACAAGACCGGTTAAATTCAACAGCTGTTTTGAAAGCCCTGCAGAAAGGTTTGTGGTCTATGGTGAGCAGGACCAGGGCTCCACGCCAGGATGGTCACCCGTGCGTCTGCTAATCAGCCTTGCCTGGCACTAAAACTCCGGCTGCTCGAGTCGAAGGGGAGAGACGACCAGAAATCTATTTAAGTTTTAAGCCGTTGTTTTGCTGGAGCACACGCCGATCATGCCGGACCCCAGAATCCGTGTTGGATGTTGTTGCTTTTCTTGCAGCCAACCTTCCACCTATAATCTACAAGTATAGCGGCTTTAGCCGCAGTGTCAGTGTTTTTCCGAGCCTGAATGTTCAACTTGCCAGTCATTGTCACTTTCAACCTCTGAATTTCTGTTGGCAGCGCATTTGGCCAGTCTGGTTGTTGTCACCTCGAAAAGCCTAGACACTGTCACCTCATTTGCATGTTGTTTGTCCAGTTGGGGTGGCCTCTGGGCTCTTCGAAGTATGAAATGAATTTGTAGGGTCTCTGACAGGAGGGGCAGACATATAGCTGTAGGGCCCCGCTTCATAAAAAAGGAATGGGAGGGAAATGAGAGAGTCAGACGTGCAAAGTAAGAAAGAGCAAAACGAGCAGGTGCTCCGGCAAGATCGCGCTGTGGAGCTGCAAGGGGTGGAAAGGGACTTTCAGCAAAGGCTTGATGAACTTGCAGGGTCCCTGAGACGAGAAGCCGATCATGTGAAGCAGTCAACCGAGCAGCAGTTGCTTCACATGAAGCGCATGCACGAAGCAGAGACCAGCTCGTGGCAAATGCAAGTCTTGCAGAGACGCCATGAGCGAATCCAGCGCTTGGAGCAGGAGTTTAGTGACGAGCGCCGCATGCGTGAGCAGTCGGCGACGAACTTGGACTATGAACTCATGCAGCAGCGCAAAGACCTTCTGGACTTCAAGGCTTCGTATCGGCTCGTGGACCAACAGGTGGAGGCAATGAGAGTCACGCTTGAGGAGATGCGGCAGCGCGTGCGCACTGCTCAAGCAGATGCCGACACTGCACGTGAAGAAGCTTCGCAGGCGGAAATCGACACCCAGGCCTTGGCAAAAGAAATCGCATTGCTGGAGGTGCGACGGCGAGCTGCTGGGATTCCGGCAGGAGTTGTGGTGCCCCCAAGCAAATCGCCTGCCCCAAGGCCACCCAGGCCCTTGAATGGTTTGACAGATGAGCTTCGAGAGTCCATTGCAAATGCCAAGCAGCTGGAAGCGGAAATGGCACAAGCAGATGCTTACCTGGGCGACTTGGAGGACGAACTTGCAGAAAAGGACAAGACGGTTGAAATCCTCGAAGTTGAAACGGAAGAGGAGCGATTGAGGACCCATCGGCTTCAAGCCCGAATCCTGCAACTGGAGGCTTCCTTGAAGACGTGAGCAAGCGTGGACTTGCCCCGGACTTCAGTGCCCTGTTACAAGGATGTGCAACACCCGTCGGCTGCTGTGGATCGTCGTAAATTTGACGAAGTAGTTTCACCTTGCAGTGGCCCACGCGACATGCGCCTGCAAATTCACCATGGGACGTAGAGCTGGGCTTCGCTTTTCGCGTGGGTGGAGATCTCAAATTCAGAATTGAGAATCAGTGGAGTGTACGGCAGCACTGGCACCAAAGCTTTTTCTTCCGTAAGCATCAGGAAAGCATAAGGTTCGTTTCATGAGATCTTTGGGACATGGAGCCAGGCACATGCTTAGGTTGATATAAGTAAACCTTCAGCACCCTGGCCATCCTGTAGGTCCAGAGAATCCTATATAAAGGATCTACATTATAGCAGAACGCAGGACTGCGAGTGGGTGACCTACCCCGGCTGGCGCATGGTAACGCCTGCAGCCCAGCTTCCCGACTTGTGCTATCTTTAAACAGTGAGAAGCTTTTGTCTTCCCTTCCGGTGCTCTGTGCAGTTGAAACCACGGAGGCCTGATGGTGACTTCGAGTTCAAAGTCGGTGCGGCGCCGATCCCCGCAAAGGTTTGCGGGAGTATGGGGGTCACCTGTCGCAAGGAAACGAGGCTCACTGGGAGGAGGTTGTGGCCCGCTTTGGCACAAAGACGGCCGTTCAGGTGCCCCCAGCTGATTTCACGATGCTGTATCGCTGGGACATTGTCTCAACAAGCTTTACCGGCACCCACCACGGTAATTTGACTGGGGCAGACCCCAGAGTCAAGTTCGAATGTGTGGATTTGCACTCGTAGCTAACTTGATCCGGCGATTTTGCAGCAAGGCTCAAGCTTCCCCTTGCCGTGTAGAGCATGTCGTGCTTTCATAAGTTTGCCAGCTTACCGTGCTGGGCCACATGGCGTACTGGAAGCAGCGGCTGCTCTTGCTGATAGCTCTTGCAGTCGTGATCTGGTCTCGCACACCCAGCCTGGTGTACTGCTTCTACCTCCTTCTTTCCACCAAGTCTAAGACGTACACAGGCATTGCCAAGGACCCGGAGCGACGGCTGGCACAGCATAATGGCCAACTCAGGGGTGGTGCAGCTTCAACACGAACTGGGCGACCCTGGCGACTGGTGTTCTTGGCTGAGGGCTTTGCTAGCAAAGGCGAAGCGCTGCGCTTCGAATACCAAGCCCGGCGCTCCGCAACTGGCAGTGCCGTCGTCGGCTTCACGCGTCGCTGCGAGAACCTTCGCCGCTTGCTCAACACAGAACCCTGGATACACTCTCCACTAAAGATTTCGTGGCACCAATCCGACGCATCCGTGTGAGACAGAGCAACTTGGGACCTCCTTGACCCCTCCACAGCTCAGCTGCTTCCAAAGTTGCGATCATTTCCCCCCCCCGAGCTCCGAAATGGGTGCTTATGACGGGAGGTAAACTGCTCGGCCGGCCAAAGTTCAAGCCCGAGACTTCGAGCCGACGCATCGTGAAAAGGTGGCTGGTGGCGACGGTTATACGCTGCCTAAGGCCTAGGACCTAGGCCGTCCACGGTGTAGAGGATGCGATTGAAAACGAGAATTGGCATTCAAGGCATGCTGCGTCCTTGTATGTGGACTTGCCGCCAGGAATGGCGGGACCTGATGACAATCGCCAAGCCTTTGGGCGAGATTTCGAAGAGTATTCCTGCAGCAGCTTTGCGCGGCGATTTGGGGGCTGCAGGAGCCTCGATCTGTTCATCTCGGTGTAGACTTTCGAGGAACTTTCGGATTTCGACTTCGGTTTGAAATCCAGCCCCTATCACTTGCAAAGGTGCGAACGTCTTGTCCTCGAGCGCGCTGTGTGTCACCTTCCAGCTCACCGCCCTTCCCACAAGGTTCTGACTTTGCTCCCCGGTGTGCTAAGGCTTCGGCGTTTCTTGCCTCGGCTACCTGCTTTACTTCTGAATGGCCCGAAGTTTCAGGCAATACTGTACTGGCACACATTGCAAGCAGTGCATTCAGATTTATACAAGTTTGCTCTGGTAGGAGGCGACTGATGTCTCTGATTTTGGTGTTGGGGTCAGGGAACCACTACCAGCGCACGAGTCCTTGTCGAGCCAAGCTTCAAGCGTGAGAGTGGTCTGAATGTGCGTGCAATTGCATGCACGATCCGATACCCTCGATCACTTCGAGACGAGACAGTGCCGTACTTGGTACATTAAGAATGGTCTTTCTTCATGTCATGCATCAGTGTCATGCAGCCCGAAGCCGGAAGTGCAGGCTCCCTTTTCTGACCTGCTCCGCGATGCAGGCATCCATTGTGCAAGGGTGTCCCTCTGCACCAATGCCTGCTGCATCGGGCAGGTGTTCAAGACAGCTTCTTGAAGAGATGGATGGACTACATCTGCTTCGTGCTGCAGGCACTTAGCAGAACCGTAAGCGAGCATGTGTGATGCATCCTTTTTCCCATGATTGAACTAACTAGCAGCAACACCGCGAGGCTGCTTGTTGTCCGAAGGCTCAGCCGAACTAGCTCCCTCGCCTACTCCGTTTGTTTTTTCGTGACGGCTACGAACATAGACCGTTCGGGCCAACTTCTGTTTCCAAGACCAACTATCTGGGATAACCAGTAGCTCGAGATCTAAAATGTGAAAAACTATGTACCTGGATGATTTTTCCATGCAGAGAAGCATTCCGTCTTTGAGCAATGTTTCTTCAGAGCTCTGGGTTCATAGGCAGACTTGAACCAATCACTTCGTTTGATCCCGCGCTCCTCCTGTCTCGGGGTGCCCATCAGAAAACAGGCTGTTCTGGCCTTGCATCAGGCTTTGCCAGCCGACACGCATCCCAGTGCCCCAGTGGCATACATGATCTCGGACATGTATGAGCTCTCATCTCAGGAAACAGGATAGGAAACAGGCAGATCTGGGTGCACTGCGATGCGTGTGCGCTGCTGGAGGCCTGGAGCCTTCCTGGACTATCCGAAAGGTGGTATGGGGGCCGGAAGCTCGGCATCCAGTTCTTCGCTTGCTACTGTCCAGTTACACGACATTTGGAACCGTCGGTCCAATACGAGAGCCGCAAGAGGCGCTCATCGGTGCATTAGAGCGCGGTGTGGTCAAACATGAAGGGCGGATACGCAGGGAGCCCTGACTGGAGAAGCATTGATGCTACTTTGACGTCCGGATGTGGGCTGCAGCGAAATGCAGGCTACAACGCCCATGTGAAAGAGATAGTGGCATCGCAGGGCAAGGCTATGATCAGCTTTTCCTTCTTCAGGATTGTGTTCACTTGCAGAAGTTGGTTTGGCCTGTTTTAAGGGAACCGCGCATTTGCAGCCGGCCTTGATTGCTGCAGGTGACAGGCATCAAACTGCGAAGTGGTGAGCCGCTCGCAAAGAAGACAGTCGATCTGGGCAGGTTGGGAAGGCGCCCCTCACTCCCCAATGTGCGCAGGAGAAGGCCCGTTCCAAGAAGCCTAAAATCCACAAAGCTTGCAACATCTCGGCCTGAAGCTGCAGCACTTGAAGACCGACCATGCCTGCTCGTAGACAGATGACCCGATCAGTAAGCGGCGTTTTCCGCGCTCGAAATGCGGAACACGAAGATGTGTATTCCAGAAACTGGACTGGCAGTTGGTGCAGCAAATCAGCTCAGGCAAATCTGGGCGAGAGAGGCGGCTGGGAGGAGGTCGGTTTCCCGAGCGCAGCCATGCCAGCACCGCAGGCTGTCATCAGCAACGCAAGTGTTTGGGACACGGTCAAGATGCTGCCAGCTAGGCTCCCGGGCACCCGTGCTCTGGTCAAAGGCTGAGAGTCAAGAAGTGATAGCGAAGACAAGCTGCACAGGAAGGCACGGACTGGCCGATGCCAAAGCTTGCAGAGTGCCCAATCTCAGCTACGCAGTGGGCCTGACAAGCCAGCCCATGCCGGTCACATTAATCATTTAGTTGACGAGCGGCTTCGCAAGGTGCGGGTCCTTCATGCACTTGCACCTGGGATTGAAAGCCGAGGCCCACATGGGAAGCTTTGCGTCGTTCATGTTTGGAATCAGCAAGTTCGATTGTCGATTACTTGCCGAGGGGCTGCCGGGTGATATGCCTCTGCACTACAGCGTCATCCGAGACTGGAAGGACGCAGCCGCAAATGTGAGAGTTTTCGGCTCGGGCAATTCGCCCCAAGGCTTGTGGCTACGGCTTTGTATTCGCCCCGTCCTTCGAACAGGAGCCGATAGACGCAACTGGCAATGTGGTCATCATCAGTGTGCCAAGTGTCGGGATCCTTTTCCGTTGCAAGCATTTTCTCGAAGCGCGCCTCAAACCGCCTCGGCGAAGTTATGTTTAGGAGCAGTGCCTTTGCCCGCCCTTTGCCTCGAGAACACTTCATGCATGCACTTCCAGCACAGTCCATAACAGAATGCTTGAGCAAAGGAAGGCGGCGATCTTTCTGCGGTCTGTTCACGCATGGAGTGCTGCCTGGGCATTCGCTTTTGCTGAGTGCTGAGGTTGTGAATCCCCGTTTGGCTCCTGCAGGAAGACATTGCGGGGCGCTCAACGCACTGTGGTCTGCGTCTAAGCGCCCTGCAGTGATGACAGCGTGTTGAAAGCATTGGGCCTCGGAAAATCGGTCAGGTGACGGGAGTTGTAATCGTGTTAATCGTGATATGGATATGTGCATATTTGTTTGTTAGTTCCGTCTATCCATAGAAGAGCATGTCAGCACAAGGCTGGGCACGACAAGGTAGGCCGGGTAATCCCGTATACATTTCTCAGAGGACCCTGCTTTGCATCAAACCCATCCATACATGGCTTGCATTGGTTCGCCATACCACGGCAGATAAAGCAAGAAATCTGGACAGCTGCGGACATCGCAGCACAGCCAACAGCCTCACCTCGCATGCCGATTGTTTCGGAAGAAATTTAAGATTGAACTTAACACATCATTAACCCAGATCAGAGTGTATCTGGCGATCTCGAATTGGTGCTGGATATGCCCAGCGAGTTGCGGCGCAGTATGGTGCAGCCATTGCCATAGCCCATGCATGGACAGCCGTTTTCATTTCATGCGAGTTCGCGGTAGACTCAAGGCAGAAGGCGCATGCAGCCTGCCGTCTAGTGCTGAGGTCAAGATACTTGTACCAAACGCAGAGGCTAGACGGCTAGACTGGCTAGCCACTGCACAACCCCATGTCCCTGTTTGCAAGATTGCATGGATCTGCACGCCGAGGTCTTCATGCTTATCTTGCCGCAACCGAACCCTGGGAGTCACGGGCTTTATGAACAGCCCATGGGTAGAGTTCGAGTGCAGGCCACGCCATATCTCAAACTCCGTGCATGGTCAAGTCAGGCTTTGGCAAGGCATGCAGCGAGGCACTTCAGAGTTGGCCTCTGAGATGCATCAGGTCCAAAGCTCACTTAGCAGACGTTGCATAAATCTGCTTGCAGCCGCCAGCGCGCAGAGACAAAAAAAGCCGAGGTACGAAGCCTTCAAGCGTGAGAGGGCCAAGCCGCTTTTCGAAGCCGTCGAGAGGGCTCTGTCGGGGCCCCAATCCGCACGTATTTGCACTTTGAGCTCAACGGGTGCCAGAGTGGAGCAATTTCGTTTCGTGCAAGTCACCGGTAAGTCCTTGGGTGGAAGATCAAGTTGGAGTACTCCACACAGCAAGCCATCAGGAGGAAGGCTTACAACAGCACATGTTCGAGTGTTGTTTCTTACCGTAAGCGCTTAGCGGAGAGTTGTCTTATGTTTCGTTGTGCATGAGACCCCCTAAGGCCCGGAGCCTGTGAGAGCATCGCACCTTGCCTGCGTTGTGCTGCATCCGCCATGTCATGTCTGCCAAAAGGGTCGCAAAGCCCAGCCATATATGGGTCGTGTGCTAGGAGCTGGAACTCATCGGATCGCCGCTGACCCATGCTAGGTTCAACCGCAGGCGATGCCCCCCTCTCATTCAAGTCGTGTTGCTCGCGCCCAAGTGGAGAGGCACAGAGGCACCTACGGACCTTTTATGCCTTCGAGCGCCAGGATCTCAGCCCTTAGGAAGGTGCTTTGGTGGTTCACACGAGCCTTGAGGCTGGAATGCTCCCGGGCCCGTTCTTGCCTCAGCGAGTTGCGCCGAGCCGAAAGTGAAGCCACAAGGAAGTCTGCAACAATCTGCATAGGTCAGGACCGTAATTCACTTCAAGGTCCACTCCAGTTGATGGTCTGCTGTGCTGTGGTGGCCTCAGTGCAGTGACTGAGCAGGGGCCGTGGCTTCATGGTTTCTGCCTTGCGGAAGTTTCTGCATTGCTCCTGTCTTCAGGTGGAGATAGCACATTTCCAGGCATTGGAGTTCCAGCCCGGCCCCTAGCATAGTCTCAGCTACTACAGGAACCGGCTAGGATGGAGTTCTACCGCGATATATCTCACCCAAATTGGCTGAAGTCTGAAACGGTCGCTCCGACATTTGCGCTTTGCAGGGAGATCTGACTCAGAACGCTGGCATGCGCTGCCTTATTCACCCAACACATTCATAGTGCAAGTCGAGAATCCAGTCGCGAAAGGCCTCCCGCTTTGGTTGCCGTGATGTCGCGGTATCACCATTCTACTTGACATGGTTGCCACCCAGTACTGCTTTCAAGCAGCTCCCACGTTGCATGAGACCTGGAGAGCTTCAGTGTTCTGAAAGAGATGCTAATACGGCACATAGAATTCACACTAAGTTTGACATAGTTTGACCAGCGTGAAGTTCTGATCCACATGCGGGCTGTTTCAGCATCATTCTGACACCCCAGGCTGCGGTGGCCAGCAGCCTCCTGAGCACATTCCCATGAACCCGCACAGCGCAGTGCAAAGTAAGTCAGGTGGCTGTGCGGCAGCCAACGCGCTGCTCTCTGTCGGGTGCTGATCAAGCCCTGGTGAAGATGGGTGTCCGCAAGCTGGGTGCACTTGGCTGTCCCTGAGGTGGAGGAGCACCTGGAGGCATCGTTTGAGCTTGGCAGGGCATCTCATAGAACATGTTGATGGTTTGCACGTGCGGTTGGCTAGAGTTGGTTCTGCGCTAGCAGGCATTTGGTCGCGCAATCGATCCCCATGGTTCGGAGACGTTCGGAGTGAAGTTGGAATTAAGAACATGCAATTGCTCGTGAAGCCCAGTCCTGCACCGACTCGAGCAAATGGCCTCTTGCCTCCTTTTGTCGTACCAGCACAGTCAAGCAGGCCGAAACTGCACAACATGTCGATGAGGCATCACCAACCTCCTCCGTAGCTTCCACACCGGACAAGACTGAAGGCGCATGGGGAATGGAGCCATCATGCTGAGGCACTAGATGCCATGCGGATACCATGAAGATGCCGATATGGGCATGCTGCCAGGCTCCCGGTTCAAGGTTCGACCCTCCCCGGGCTCCTGCCCTTTCAACTTGCAGTGACAAGGCCCTGTGCTGCTGCATTTCCTTCTGAGCGAGATTCATGTGCAAAATCGCACAGCAAAAGAAGCTTCGTTGATCGTTTTTGCAGCATGAAGTGAAGGCTCGCAACTGCTCAAAGTACGCCTGACTTGAGAGCTTGAGCTTGCCAGAGATCAGAGACGCGGGGCTCAGAAAGTCGGTAGTGCGCCGCCAGAGCCTGTCTCGGTTGTCGCTTGGCTGAAGGGTGTTATTATGTCGCAGGGGCTGCCTCTGACAGAAAAAAATGTCATGCCCTCTTTACAACCATCGCATCTGATGGTACCCCAATGCTTAATGCATGCTACTATAACACTTAAGTTCTGCAACTATAACACTTACTTTTGCTGCCAGAACATCTAATGCTTGTGTATCATAACACTTAAATGCGCTATCATAACACTTAGTTTTTGTCATCATAACACTTAAATCATGCCCATCATGACACTTAACTCCTGCTTATCCTGCCATCATGTCACTGAATTCCTGCGATCACAGCATTTAATTGGTGCCTATCATAAAACTTACTTCCTGCTTATCATAACACTTAACTACTGTTTGCTATCATAACAGTTGCATCCTGCCATTATAACACTTAATTCTTGCCATCATGTCATTTAGTTCCAGTCGTCATAGCACCTATATCCTGCAGTTATACCAACTAATGCCTACCATCATAACACTTAGTTTTGTCATCATAATAGAACATAAACCCTGCCATCATAACACTTAATTCCTGTCGTCATAAAAATTCTTGCCACCAGAACTTAAATGCGGTCAGCACAACACTGACACAGCGCCCATCACAACATGATAGCACCCAGATAGTAGGTTTGTATAATAGGGCCCTATCAGAACACTTAACTTGGGGCCATCATACCACCTAGCTCCCCGCACTAAGTGTTATGATAGCCCCCAGCTAAGTGTTGTGGTAGCCCAATTTATAGGGAAAGCCTAGCTAATTGGCCTCCATCACAGCACTTAACTTGGGGCTATCAAATTTTCGTTTTGGGTGAGAGTTGGGTCAACTGCCATTAGTGTGGCGGCCAGCTCTCCTGGGAGATCACACATTTCACGTCGTTCTCTGAGGAAATGGCGATGTTTCAGGTGCCTACCAGGCCAGCCGGTCATGTCCATGTAGAGTTCAGGGCAGGGCGCATGGATTGGGATGGGCGAATGGTGACAGCGGACAAGCGAAAGGGCAAGATTCTGCTGTACACCTCCGAAGAAGACCAATTGACGCATTTCCAGTGGATGGATCGGAACAAGAACGAGGTAGTTACAGACCTCATCGTCATCAATGATGCCTACATGGAGAAAGTCCAGAAGTGCACTTCCGGCCGGGCATACATCCTTCGCTTCACTTCCTCGGACAAGAAAATGTTCTTTTGGATGCAAGAGCCCAGCGAGGAAAAGGATGAAGAGAACATCAAGAAATTCAATGAGGCAATTGGTGCCACGATCCCAGACAAAGACAAAGCCGAGAAGAAGCCAGCAGAGGATGCTGCCCCAGCTGCCGGTGACTCAGGTGGTGACGCTGGTGCTGCCGCGCCTGGTCCGGCATAGAGCTGAATATCAAAGTTGCCTGCGCAGACCAGAAGTTGGAGTGCAAAACCGGGGATCCATTCAACAGCTTGTTTCTGTGAGTGCAAACCATGGGCAGTTGTCCTTTCACGCCTCGCGGAGACGGCAGCTTCATTGCTCGCAGCACATGGGACACCTAATTACTTCGACCGCCTAGCTCACCCTTCTCTCAGTACAATAGTTCTTAGGAAAGACAAACTCCACATTATCTGCTGATTGAACAAACATGCAATGAAACTTAATGTAACCAACATCTTTCCGAACGCCAGGCCCCCATGGAGGTCCGTGTTAACAGCCTCGCAGGGCAGCTTTGCTGTTTGCGCGGAGAGAGCGAGTGGCGTGCTGCTGACGTCAAGCGAGCGCTGGAGGCTTGTGCCATCCAGTTGCAGTATGGGGACCTCAAGCCAAGAGTAGTCGACTTTCAATCGAGGTGGTGGAAAGAGTAAAAGGCTTCTAAATAATTGTGTAAGCAGGACAGGACACTGGACCGAGATATCCCGAAAGCTGATTGAAACGAGGTAGCAACGGAGACAGAGCCCGCCGATGCCACCCGCAACATGAGCCATCATCATCAAGATAATGCCAGCATCTGAAAAGCTTTTGTAGGGTCTAGCAAGGCTTAGGCAACCAATGACATCGACAGTGGGCGCGCTGTCCAAGGTACACTCGCGTTTTGCGTTCAAGGTATACTCGGAAAAAATCCAAGGTGCACTCGCATGTCGCTTCCGTACCGTAAAAACCAAGCTGCCGTGCCCCTGCCCCGGTCTGTTCGCCCCTGGCCGTGCACTCGCACGTCGCTTCCACACCGTAAAAATCGAGCTGCCGTGCCCCTGCCCGAGTCTGTTCGCGCCCTTTGCCGTGCACTCGCAGGTCGCTTGCGCACCGTAAAAATCAGGCTGCCCGGGTCTGTTCCTGCCCTTGTCATGCCCCTGCCCCTGCCCTTGTTGACTTGCTTTCTTGGAAGACCCGGGACTTGCTGACATGAGCGAGTCGAGCCCGGGCTAAACAGGCCCGTGAAGTAGGAACCTTTTGCCCAACGCGAAAAATCTATAAACATCTGAGGAGTGAAATTGGCGGGAACCTTTTCCCCAAGACGGAAACCTTGAGGAGTGAATCCAGTGAGAATCTGTTGCCCAACACGAAAACCCTAAGAAGTGAAATTGGCAGGAACTTTTTCCCAAGACGGGAACCCTAAGGAGTGAGAATCTGTTGCCCAACACGAAACCCGAAGGAGTGAACTTAGCAGGAGCCTTTTCTCCATGACGGAAACCCTAAGGAGTGAATCCAGTGAGCATCTGTTGCCCAACACGAAAGCCCTAAAGAGTGAACTTAGCAGGATTTTTTCCCCAATACGAAAACCCGAAGGAGTGAATCCAGCATTTCCCCGAGACGAAAACCCCATGCGGTGAAATCCAGCGAGAGTCTTTTGCCCAACAAGGAAATCCCGCAAAATCCAAAACCGTGAACCTTAAACCCTACATCCTCGATTCAAAGACGAAAACCCTGAGCAGTGAACAGCAGGAACTTTTTGCAAGACGAAAACCCTAAGGAGTGAATCCGGTAGGAACCTTTTCCCCAAGACGACAACCTTAAGGAGTGCGTCCAGCAGGAAACTTTTGCCCACAAGGCGAAACCCTAAGGAGTGAAATTAGCAGGGGCATTTCGCCAAGACGGAAACTTTAACGACACGAAAACCCTAAGGAATCAATCCAGCAGGAACCTTTTGCCTTTTTACCCAAGACGAGAACCCTAAGGAGTAAATCCGAGGAGAAATCTGTTGCCCAACAGGAAAACCCTGAACCCTGGAGCCAAGCAAGGGGACTCTAGCCTCATGTTTACAATGCATAAGGGACCCTGAATACGCCCTGGATTCAAAAGAGGCGTGAGTGGGTTTTGGATTCAAAACCGACGGCGCCTTGGATGTGCTGGCCATCGAACATAAACAACAGCAAAACTGTTGCCAACAAGAGTGATACGGTCAATAACAGTGAGGACAAGGAGACGAATGCAACAATAATACCGATCTCAGCAGCAACACAACTACACAGCCACACCAACAATGCAAGCAACAGCAAGTAACAACAACAACGACGATAACAAAAATAATAGCAAAAGGAATAACAATAACAGAACAAGAACAACAACCACATTAACCACCAGCCAACAACCAACGCAATACCAACGACGACACCCACAACAACTTCACCACCTCACCGCCGCACCACCACGCCACGCAAACACAGAACCACACCGCCACACCACTACAATTACGCCTTCGCAGCAACATCAGCAACACTAGCACCACTACCATCAACAACAACAACATCAGCAACAACGCGGCCAACGGCAGCAGCTGCACCACCATCCCCGCCGCCGCCACCACCACCACCACCTCCACCTCCACCACCACCACCACCACCACCACCAAAACAACGACAGCAGTAATGATGACAACAAATACTGCAACCAAAAACAGCAGCATCGACAACATCAAGAACACCGCCACCGTCGCCACCACCACCCCCACTACCACCACCAACAACAACAACAACAGCAACAACAACAACAAGGTAGTTGTTGCGTTTGCCGCCGTGGGGTGTGTGTCTTTTTTTTGTGTGTGGGGGGGGGGGGGGTTTGGGTCAAGAGCATGAAAACCTCGAGTATTGTCTGGTTTTCGTGAAAAAGGAGGACCTTGTTCAATGTTTTTGTTGTTTTGCAGTGTGGTTTTTGCGACAGTGTCGCGAATGCCATGGTGTTCGTTGTTTGTTGCTTCAGTTTTACCTTCATTTTCAATGCTTTTTGTTTGGAAAGCCCACAAAACGCGAGACTTTTCTAGTGGGAGCGTCAGACAAGTAACAGGAAAACAGCAGCAACAGCGAGCAAAATTGTCATTGTCATAGTTATCATGACTGATCATCGCCATCGTTATCCTCTGCATGAACAAGCAACAACTTCAACATCATGATCGTTATGCTTACCAACATCATCGCATTCAGGAGTATCAGCATCATGATCATCAGCATCAGCATTATCATCACCGTCATCACGGTCAAGGCAATCTGTTTTGGGAATACAACTTTGAATCTGGAGCTGGCGGGGATCTTAGTAACAACAACGAAAACCACTGTATTTGCGATGCGTCCGCAAAACCACCCCTGCACGGAGTACAAAAAAGAAAGACTAAATGCCCAAAGAAGCAAGCAGCCGACTTGCAAGCAAAAGCGGGCACGGAGAAGCCACGGATGCCTTTGAGTACCCATACAAGTGCAAGCTGCCCTGTGCGAAAAGACGAGTGTTGGCACAGCGCAGCCCTGAAATCGAACATGGTTTTTTTCAGGAAAACACAGCAAAACCCGATATGAAATGCAAAACAGAGGTGTTTTGTCCAGACAGGAATGTGCCAAAGCTCGAGTTTTAAGCACAGTGCAGCGCAGAACACGAGATACCCTCCACGGCGGCAAACGCAACAGCTGCCAACAACAACCAAACCTACAACAATCTCAATCGCAACTACAGCAGCAGCAACAACAACAGCAACAATAACAAAAGCAGCAGGAACAGCAACAGCAACCGCAGCAGCAGCAACACCAACAACAACAGTATCAGCAGCAGTGGGCACAGGCAACAGGAACCACAGCAGCAGGAACAGCAGCAGCAACTGCTGCAGCAGCAGCAGCAGCAACACCAACAACAACAGCATCAGCAGCAGGGCAACAGTGACCGTACCAGCAGCAGCAGCAGCAGCAGCAGCAGCAGGAGCAGCAACAACACTTGCAACAGGAACCACAGCGGGCACAGGCAACAGGAACCACAGCGGCAGGAACAGCAACAGCAATCGGAGTAACCGCAGCAGCAGCAGCAGCAGCAGCAGCAGCAGCAACACCAACAACAACAGTATCAGCAGCAGTGGGCACGGGCAACAGGAACCACCGCAGCAGGAACAGCAACAGCAACGCAGCAGAGCAGCAGCAGCAGCAAGAATCTCACAACCCCAGGAGGTGCCAAGGGGATGTTTCAAGAGCATTAATGAGACCAGAGACTGAGCCCGCGGTCGTATCGCAAGGGTTGCGGTTTCGGACGACTCAAGAGCCAAATGTTGAGGCCAGGACTACTGTACAGCGACACCCAGCAGGGGGCTGTGGATATTTTTCTGCTGGTCCTGCCCCCTGCAAACGCTCCGCAGGAAAGCACTTCCCAAGCTTTCGGGAACAATCGCCTTTCGGTTGCCTGCAGGTGAGCCTTCGTGTCCGCCCCTCAGACATGCGGCATGTGCTTTCGTAGTCATGCCTTCTAATCTCGTGCATCAGTCTATCGTCAGGTGCTAAACTAACGGGTCTCTTCTCTAACATCCGGAATTCAAAGGTCCCTTCGGATGAGCAAAGGCACGCTCCGCAAAACATCGCAAAACAAAGTGATGATCTGTCTGGCTGCATGATCATGTCTGCAGTGGGGCTGTGAGCTCTGCCCTGCTGCCACCCTGGAAGGCTCATCCTGGGCTGTGTCGAACTTCAGGATCATGACCTCTTGCAAGATCCCGGCTGCATACGCGATCTTGACTTAACCTTGATTCGACGATCAACAGCACATGCGGAGCTTCTGCGGCTTGTGCGTGGAGGGACGCAGACCCTCAGTCGAAAATGGCTTGCACGTATGCCGGAGATAGTCCGTGGAGATTCCGAGATAGTACGAGAAGTATTGCGCAGAGATGGCGTGGCTCTGGAACATGCCACAGAGGAGCTGAGGGCAAATCCGGAGATGGTATTGGAAGCTGTACGCCGCAGTGGCTTTGCCTTGGAATACGCGGCAGCCCGACTTCGAGAAGATCGCAAATTCGTGCTGAAAGCAGTTCAGGTCAACGGCTTCGCGCTCGCCAGGGCATCGAAGTCTTTACAAGCTGATCCCGACATTGTACTAGCAGCGATAAAAGAAGAGGGTGCGGCCTTCGAGTATGCTGCTGAGGAGCTGAAAAGCGATGCCGAGTTTGCTTTGGAGGTGGTGGAGACGGGAAAAAGTGGAGTCTTGGAGCACATTTCTGCTGAGCTCTGGGAAGATCCCTGCTTCGTTTTAGCAGCGGTTTTGAAGCTGCCAGCGGCCTTGGAGCAGGCCTCGGAGATCCGAGCGGAGCCGACCTTCGTCTTGGAGGCCGTCGCCAAAAGCCCCGAGGCGCTGCCCTACGTTGCACAGGAGCTTTTCGAGGACCCCGCCTTCCTTTTGAGGGCCATCACACGCAACCCTAAAGCCCTGAGCTATGTGGACAGAGAGCTCGCCTTGGAACCCGCCTTCGTTTTGACCGCCTTGCGATGTAACGGCGAGGCCTTGCGCTTTGTGTCGCCCAATTTGTTGAAAGATACCCGCTTTGCTCAACAAGCCTTGGCCGCGGCTGGGTCCAAGGTTTTGGGGAGCATGCCAGAGGAGTTTTGGCAAGACAAGGACCTGGCTCAAGCTGCCCTGCGTTCTGATGAAGCATCCATACAAAGGGTCCCAAAGAAATTTTGGACAGACCGTGACTTCGTACTCAAGGCAGTTCGCTGGCAACCCTCTATACTCAACATGATTGAGCCGAACCTGCTAAAAGACAAGGCCTTTATCCTCGCAGCTGTTCAGCGCAACTCAACATGCATCCGCTACGTGTCTGAAGAACTGCTGAAGGACCGAGCCTTCATTCTTGAAGCCCTCGAAGTCCACGGGTCCGTGCTGAAGCATTTGCCCTATGACATGCGCACCGACCGAGCACTCGTTCTGGCCGCACTTCAAAAGACTGGCTTCGTGCTTGGATTTGCTGACGACATACTTCGGACGGACAAGACCTTCGTGCTGGAGGCCGTGAAAACGAACGGTTATTGTTTGATTGGAGCCCCGGATTCAATGAGGCAAGATCGTGACGTTGTCCTTACCGCTGTGAGGCAGCAGGGTTTGGCCCTCGAATTCGCGGCATTGGAACTCCGTGGCGACGCCGATGTCGCTCTCGCGGCCCTCGAGAGCTGCCCAGGTCCGCTTGTGCATGTCGAGAAGCGCCTTTGGTCAGATCGTTCCTTCGTACTGAAAGCTTCTGAGCGGCATGGATGCGCACTTGAGCATGCGGACGATGCATTGCGTCGGAGCCGCGTGTTTGTGCTTGCAGCCTTCGAGCTTAACCCAGAATGTCTGTGCTATGCGCACGAGGAGCTACAATCTGATCGTGGCTTCATGATTGAATGCCTCATGCTGAATCCGCATGCATTGCCCTTTGTGCCTGCAACAATGCGAATTGACGTCTCCTTCGCTGCGGCTGCAGCTGCTGCGACACGCGCGCCTCCTGCTCAGCCTGACATCTCACCAGGTCCTTCCGACATGCCCTCCCCATCGTGGTGACTCTGCGCTGGCTCGCGTCATCTCGTGTCTCAGGGACGTTATGCAGAGCACAGGGACGGTGCGGTCTTTCCCATCACCGTATTGGAGGCTTGTTGTGAAGTTGAGGGTCTAGACTGGGTGGAACAAGGGCTTCGCTGAATCGAGAACCCACTCAGTGGGATTGAGAGAACAGGACATGTGTGGACCGTTGAGGCGACCCAGGGCTTTAGGTTTGGGGTAGATTATTGTTTGCCTTGCTTGAGGCCACTCGATGTTGTTAGCTACGGCTTCATGACTGCATATTCATTTCTGTGGTTACACTATTTATAATGTTTATCCGGGCATTGCTGAGCCAATACCTCGGGCAGACAATACGGTGGTGGCTCAGAGTAAACGAATTTTCAGATTCATATTAATTACTCCTAGATTAGAACCGATATTTTGCTAAGATAGAAAATTACTATAATAGTGTCATTATAAAAATATTTTATAAGTAATACTCTAGATATAGAAAATTAAGCGGTAGTAGGTGAACAGAAATAGATACTTAATTTTCACATATATTTAAATAGATTATATTTCAGACTAAATTATTTATATTCACCATAAAATTACATTCAATATATGTTATTATTAACAAATTAATATGAAATATATGAAAACATTATGATAATTTAAAAAAAAGTTTCGAAAATAATACGATAATTCTAAATATATAAAGGTAAGAAAAAGGTAAATATCTGTGTTAATTTGGATTTTAGCAAAATTTAATTTCTGAGAAGGGATATTTTAAATATATTTTCCGAATTATATTCTTCTAATCGTTTTTTCTACGATTATTTCTATAGAAAAATAATTTAGATATAAATAATATTTTTAAAT